CGCCTTCGCGTGAGTGCGGGCGAGGGGAGACCCCCTTGACCCTCCCGTGCCCCGCGGGGTGCCAACACAGAGCTCACCGGGCACCCCCCGAGCGTCTCAGCCCTCCCTTGCCCTCACCTCCTCCCCGGATCCGCATCCCCGACTCGCCCAGTCTCTCTGAATCGCAGCTTTTCAGTGCAGCCTGCCCAAAGTCCACCTCTTTTTTTTTTTTCTTTTTTTTTTTCCCTTGTCTCCTCCTCTCCAGGATCATGGAGTTCTTGCCGCCGTTCCAGCGCGTGGTACAGCCTGAAGAGATGTGGCTTTATAAAAACCCGTACGTGGAAGCGGATCACGTCCCCACAGCACCCATGTTTGTAAGTTCAGCGATTTCCTTCCGTCTTTTCTCTAATTACAAACTTTGGTTTTAAGGCCAAGCTGCTCGCTGAAAGGCTTTGCACTGCAGGCGCCTGCGGTTCGTCGTGCATGCGACTGCAAGTGCAGTGTGTTATCGCAAGCAAAACAGCATTTACCCTCATTTTTCGTAGTCTTTTTTAGACTTTACCATCCGGAATTGGTTTTGGGATTTTAACTAAATTTATAAAACCTCGTGAGGACTCAGCACTGTTGTTCATCATCAATTTCAGGTCCGGATGACTCGGACCACAGAGAATAGCATGTCTCTCACTATCAGGAAACATTTTGCTTGAAAGCAGCTACTTTCAGCAAAGTTTTATTATAATTTTATTGTGAAAATGTTTTCCCTAGGCTCTGTTAAAAGGCTTTAACATAAAACTGTAAGTCTTGGATTTCAAGCAGACAACAGTGTGTTAAAGGGTTGTCCCCTCCTCGGAAGAAGGAGTGTTTCAGTGAGATGCTGTGGCCCCTGGGCTGGGCAAGCACCTGCTTTTTTGGCAAATAGCACTTGTGATTTTCTGCAAAAAGTGAGTGTAGGGTTTTTAAACAGTAAAGGACGAATCCTCGGTGTAGCGTTTGGATTTGGCAGCGGGAAGCACGAGGTGTGCCAGGCTTCAGGAGGCAGCACACCCCATGGGAGCCTCAGGCACACCGGGGGTGTCCTGGGCTGAGACCCCACAGCAGCAGTCGCAGCCGAGACGTTGGGAATGACAACTGGTTTTCTCTGAATCAGCAGCTCCTGCATTTTTTGCTGACCAGCAGCATGGGTGCTGCTGACCATGAGCTAATCCTTGTGCTTGCAGGGCTGGGGAGAGCTGAGGTGCTGTGGCTGATAGCCGGGAGCAGGGAGCTGCAGGCAGGAGCGAGGTGAAGGCAGCCAAAGCAACGCTCTCGTGCCAGAGGTGCTGTTGGAGAGCTTGAGGATGTGCTGGGCTTTGCTCAGAGGAGGGAGGGCTTCGCTGCTCTGCTGAGCTCATGCACTGAGTGGGTAAAGCACGGGAAGGTGTGGGATGCAGAGAGGGGCTTTTGAGTGCACTGCATTGCTTTTGCTGCCTGGGGTGTTTTTTTCTCATGCTTTGGCACAGACAGCGTCCAGCAGCCCATGGACTTGCTTTTGTAGGCGAGGTGCTGCCGTTGGGTGACAAAGAGGAGGAGCAGCCGTGCTCGGGGAGCACAGGGTTAGTCAGGCTTTGCTGCAAATACAGCCGGGGTCAGTTTTGCTTCCTGATGGAAACATTAATTGTGTGCAGAGGGGACAGGTTGCTGCTCGGCTTTGGGGAAGGACGGTGTGTAGTGTCCTCCAGCAGTTGTGTTCTGGTGTGAGTGCTTCAACCTGCTTCCCTAACAGACTCCTAACAATCTTCTTGTTCTGTGGCAGTTCATCGCCTTTCTGTCTCCCCTGTTGCTCATTGTCCTGGCACGGGTGTTCATGAATGCCAGCCGAGAAGACACGTGGGAAGCCTGCCTTGGTGAGCTCCTCCTTATCCCCGAGGGGTCTGCTCCGGTGCTATGGGGGTCTTGCAGATGGGCCCTTTGCTCTTGCTGGGGCACAAGTGCTGTGCCAGGGGTATCAACGCTGAGCCGTGTGGCCTCTGCTGAAGCTTGAGCACAGAAGCCCCACCATTCAGGTGGGGATGATGCTGACGTGACCCCTCTGCTCTCTCCCAGCCGCCAGCCTTGCTCTCGCCCTGAACGGAGTTTTCACAAATGCCCTGAAGCTCGTTGTGGGGAGGTGAGAAACTGGCTCTTTGTGGGCCGCGCCGTGCGGTGCGGGGAGGCGCGTCCGTGCAGTGGTAGAGCTACAATAGCAGGAGTACAGGCCAGAAGCTGAAGCTGGACATGCTCAGCCTGGAAAGAATGTGTTTTTTCTAGCTGTAAAGACAATTAAATATTAGAACAAACCCTGGTGGGAACCTGCTGTCTCCGGGCATCGTTTAGATGGGCTCGTTCAGGCCTGTGCCAGGGAGGAGCGCTTTGGCACGTGTACAGGGAGCAGATGAGATGGTTTCATCTCCCCGGGCCACGTGGTTGGGATGGCAAAAAGTTACCTGTGCTGAGCACAGCCTGAGAGGTTTGCTGCGGTGCCCGCGGGCTGGGCAAGCGGAGCGCGTCACGGCCGCGTGGGAATTCGGTTCCGGTAATAGATCTGCTCTGCCGGGCTGGACGGGGGAGGTCGGCACGATGCTAATCCCGGGGACCGAACCGGGTCTTGCCCGAGCAGCGGTGGGCTGGTGAGGGTGCTCTGCCACAGCCGGGCTCCCGTCTGCCCGTGCTGCCCACCCAGGCGGGAGCGGAGCTGGTGCAATGCCCGGATTGTCCCTTGGCACGGCAGAGGGAGCTGCGGAGGTGCTTGGGGACTGTGCTGGGATGCGGGTGCTCCGTGGGAGGGCTGGGTGCTCCGTGGAAGTGCTGGGTGCTCTCCTGCGTGCCATGCCAGGAGCACTGCACAGCCGAGGGCTACATGCCTTGCTTCTCTGCCCCAGGCCACGGCCGGACTTCTTCTATCGGTGCTTCCCGGACGGACAAGCGAACGCGGAGCTGGTGTGCACGGGCGACCCGGCCATAGTGACCGAGGGACGCAAAAGCTTCCCCAGCGGACACGCTTCCTGTAAGTTTTCCATGTCCCCTACCCGCTGCAGCCGCAGACAGCGAAGCGTGGTGAGCAGAACCCTGTGGGGAGGGCAGCTTGGGTTTGCCTCCCTGCACCCCGCAGCTCCGGCTGCGTTCCTTGGCCCGTCGGGGGGCTCGGCTTTCCCTCTGCAAAGCAGCGAGGGGAAAAATGCAGCCTGAAGCTGTCTGTAACTCTCGGGAGGAGGGATGTTTGCCAAGTACCAGCTCCTGCGGCTCCTCCATCGCTCATGAGCTGGTGCATCCCTTGGCTCCTGTGGGCAGGACAGACGTCCTCTTTCAGCCCCACCGCTGCAGCAGGGGAGGGGGGGAGGGGCTGGCTGAGGGCCCGTGGCAGAGCCCGGGGCCATCTCTGAAGGGACACGCTTCTCCTTCAGTCGCCTTCGCTGGTCTCGCCTTCTCCGCCTTCTACATCGCCGGGAAGCTGCGCTGCTTCGTGCCCGGCCGGGGAGGCAGAGCTCTGCGGCTCTTCCTCGCCACCCTCATCGCCGTGTCCCGCACCTGCGACTACAAGCACCACTGGCAAGGTGGGTCCGCGTCTGCCTCTGAGCGGGATGAGGGCACAACTGGGTGCCCTGAGTGGGGGCACCTTGAGCAGGGGGAGGGGTCCGCGGTGCCGCAGAGGTGTTCAGAGCCCACGAGGGCAACTCGAGTGTTTTGATTACTCCCCTGGTGGTAGTTTTTTTGCTGCCTGCACGGTGGTGATGCCTTTCTCTTTGTTTTTGAAACAGATGCCAAACTTAGTCTCAAAGGCAAGGGTCAAGTTGCTGACCCAGCACAGCTCTGAGCAGGCTGAAGAGCAGCCTGCTGAAAAATCCATGGAGCTGGGGAGGGGAAAAGGGAGTTAAGTCTCCTCTGGTCTTGCCCACAGATGTGTTGGTTGGCTCAGCGATCGGCTTCGTGCTTGCCTACCTCTGCTACAGGCAGTACTACCCTCCTCTGATGGACTCCATGTGCCACAAACCGTTTCTGCACAAATCCAAACAACTGCCAGCACACCAAGAAAAGCCTGTGGCTTCCAGCTTTCCCCTGGATGTGTAGCGACGGGCTCTGTCCCGCCAGCACCTCTCCTGCTGCTCCGTCAGCGCTGGGGCAGGGGAAGGCTTTGGGGAGGCTGGTCGTGGTCTGCAAGAAGTGGCACAAAGGAGGATGAACCGGACACCCGCGTTCTCTGCAGTGCTGGTAAGTTGTCCTGCTCAGGGGCCTGTGTTGCTTCATTAACCAAATTTTGTAGCGTCGCTCTCTCGGGACCCGCTGCGAAGTGAGCGGTGCGTTTGGCGTGCAAGCCTGCGGGAGGACAGCCCAGTTATGAAAGGTGCTGAAGTAAGAACTGGAAAAATATGACCATCTGGTGTGCCCTGTCCGGTGGGTGTTCTGTGTCCAGTCCAGAAACCACCATCAGTCACCTCCCTGCAGTCCAGCCGAGCGCTCCCATCCCTTCTCGTGGGAAGCGTACGTCGAAACGCGGTGCAGGACCTGCTCCTGGCGCTGGATTTAAGTCCGTCTTTTTCATGGCAGCTGAGCCAGTTTGGAGTAACGGGCGCGAGGCTGCAGTCTTTGGCCATGGATTCAGTGGGGTGGGGGAAGATGAAGCTAGCACGGTCGTTATTTGGATTACTGTGCTAGCCTGGATGTTTTCTAATTTGCCCAATAAAGGAGTTTAAGTTTTTTAATGAACTGAAACTTTGAGGACTGGGTTTATTGCTGCATAAACTGTTTCGTCTGTTGTATCTGCAGGGGGTTCTGGGTGTTTATTTCCTGTCTCCTCCCTTGCAGCTTTAGTACAGTTGTAATGAGATGAAAATCAGCAGAAAATGAAACTGTGTCTGAAAGCATCCCTTCAGAGGGGCTTGTTTCTCTACACCGTGGTTTGTTTGCTCAGACAGCGGAAGGGTAGCGTGCTGCTGAGACATCCCAGGCACAGCTGGATGGCAGGACTGTTGTAAGTAATTTGTCAGGAGTCACCTCCGTCACACCTACGTGTGTTCTTGGCCGAGTGTACGTACACACACAGAGCAGAGGTGAGGCCGTGTCCGAGCACGGCACATGTGCCTCTGCCAAGCCCAGGACACGACAGTGATGAAAACACCACCCATCAGCTGCAGCGTGGGCCACGTAAGCCCTCTATGATCCTGCAACTTCAGCAGAAGTTACACAAATAGTTTTACTTCCCCCTAAAATTGTGGACTTGTGAATTTTTCAACCCCCCTCCTCTCCCTCTTCCCCTGAACACACACACACCACAGTCATCTACTTATTTATTTTGGCTTTTACTGGAAAAGACATTAAATAACATTTAAAATGTATTTAACTTTGTTGTTGTTTTTACAAAGTGCATAACTTAAAAAGCTGATCATGAGTGTCCCATGTTAAGACCGTTCCTTTTCCTACTCTTGTAGGAGACGCTTTAGCAATCAGTAGTTCAGGCGCCGACGGAGCAGCGTGTCTGTTCCTGCAGTCAGGCAAAACAGCTCCAGTTCCTTCGGGATGGGAGGAGGGATGTAGGCTGCCAGCGAAACCCTTCAAGTAGTGCAAATAGCGCGGCACAACGCAGGGCGAACAGGCAGGCGGGGGAGAAAAGGCTCCTTACCCCGTGCAGGGCAAAAGTCAGTGGGAGGGAAAGTGGTTTGGCCCTTTCCAGAGGCTGTCGCTGCAGCGACCTTACACGCCACGGACACGTCTCCCTCTGCCTTCCCCGGAGGCTCCAGCCCCAGCGAGAGCCTGGGTGGTTCTGGGGGCGAGGGAGGGATCACCGGAGGCTCTTGGGCCCCGTCCCGCTTGGAGCGGAGCTGGTGTCGTTTCTTCAGCGGGGTCACTGGGACACAGAGCCCAGACCCTGCGGCTCTGGGCTCCGACGTCGCTGGCTGCATTTTGTGTATTTAAAACCAAACACGAGGACGGGAGCCTGGCCGGTGCGAGATCCCCACAGCCACCCCCACAGCCACGCTGCGGCTGATGCCAGCGTCGTGCCGTGCCCCTGCAGAGCGCAGGAGCTCCGTCCCTCCAGCCCTCCGAACCGCCCGGACGGTGCCGAGGAGCAGCTGCTGCGCTCCGATCTGGAGGGGAAGCTTCCCTCCCGCACCGCTCCCAGCCGTGCTGCTGCGCACGGTGCCACGGGCCGGCTGCCCGGTTTCTTGG